GCTCGGCTCCGCCTCCTCACCAGTGATTGGCCGCCAGAACTGTAGCTCAGGAAAGGCACACAGGCGGCCAATCCCGGCGAGGGGGTCCAATCACGGCGAGGGGCGAGCCGAGCCCCCGCGAAAATCGACTGCAGGACCAGCAGGTAAGTGGTCAGTGTAGAGGTGCTGCTGCACCCACATATGCTGGCTGCAGCAGCACCATACGAGAACAGGGTCAGCAAGTGTCAGTGGGAGGAATAGTGCCCCATCATTGGTGTCACTTGATACCAATGATGAGCACTATTCCTTCCACTGACCAATGATGGGGCACTATTCCTCCCACTGATACCAATGATGGGCACTATCCTCCCCTCCCACTGACACCAACGATGGGGCACTATTCCTCCCCCCCCACTGACACCAACGATGGGGCACTATTCCTCCCCCCCACTGACACCAACGATGGGGCACTATTCCTCCCCCCCACTGACACCAACGATGGGTCACTATCCCCTCCCCCCCCCCACTGACACCAATGATGGGGCACTATTCCCCCCCCCCATTGACACCAATGATGGGGATGGGGACCCCCCACCAATGATGGGACACCATTCCACTGACACCAATGTTGGGACACCATTCCTCCCACTGACACCAATGATGGGGCACTATTCCCCCCACTGATACCAATGATGGGGCACTATTCCCCCCACTGATACTAATGATGGGGCACTATTCCTGCCACTGATACCAATGATGGGGCACTATTCCCCCCACTGATACTAATGATGGGGCACTATTCCTGCCACTGATACCAATGATGGGGCACTATTCCCCCCACTGATACTAATGATGGGGCACTATTCCTGCCACTAATGCCAATGATGGGGCACTATTCCTGCCACTGATACCAATGATGGGGCACTATTCCTGCCACTGATACCAATGATGGGGCACTATTCCTGCCACTGGTGTGCATTGGAAGAGGGGTAGTCTTATACGGCGAGTATAGCTCAAACACTAAATTTTAGCAGGAAAAGTAGGGGGGTCGTCTTATACGCCCAGTCGTCTTATACGCCGGCAAATACGGTATATACCTATTGATTATATTGAAGTATATACCTATTGATTATATTGAAGTATATACCTATTGATTATATTGAAGTATATACCTATTGATTATATTTGAGGTAATACACTATTTTAGATTTTTGTTTTTTGAGGTATAAAAACTTATTTGGACACATGGGGCCGCTGAAGTTGAACACGGAGGAATAGTTTATTTGGACTTATTTTGGACTTTGCACATTTTACTGACGCAAAAAGGTTTTTATAGCTTTTTATTACTAACACAAGAACAAAACTGGATTTTGGATTTTCTAAAGAACACTGATATTGTCGCCTGACATGCTGGCTCTGGTTCGGCAGCACTCCACAAAACAGGGACTGCCCCCTCAGTAAAAAGGGAAAGGACTCTGTGTTGAGAATCCACACACATACAATCCAGTAAGAGTTCCAAACAAATTTCCAAGAGTCCAAAGTAATTTAATAATAAAATTGATTTTCTAATTATATTATCTTGAATTCTTGGATGGTTTTCTTTTGATGTGAGGTTTTTATTGCTGTTTGTGTCCCTGTTAGGGAAATTAACCCTCTTTGTCTTGTTTATCATTATCATTGAAAGTGAAAGAAAATCCCAAATCTTGGGTTCCCAAAACATGAATTATGGGGATATCTTCCAATGGGGACACTTGTTCTGTTAAACCTGATGATAATCAGGCACTCCCTCACTTTAGAGGAATTTCCTTTCACTTTCTATTTTGGCTATGGGACAGGAAGTGAAGGGACATCTCCCATTGGGATACAGATGGCAAAAATACACTTTACAGGGGTTATAACCCTCCCTTACTCTATCCAAAATTAAAAAAAAAAGCTTTGCCTTTAGTTTTACTTTAAGCTATGACTGAGGAAAAACATTGTCTGACCATTTTATTGATATTGAGACTTGTGGTTGTGCCACCTGTGAGAGCAGACAATGTCATATTTTAAATGTGTCCATATCCAGGTCTGTTATTGTCCTCCAAGGTTTTGTATTTGCCTTTCTTTCGTGATTCCACAGTGGGATGTCCCTGATTTTTGTATGTTCAGATAGTAAACAGCAGTTAGATGAGAGATTCATTGGGACATGAGCTGCTGGCATAGTAAATAATGGCCAGCTTAATGACCTACCTAACCTTAACATTGGGTTGAATCTGGTTCACCCCATATTTTTATACTCCCCTTACCTGTGCCACTAGCCTCTCCGCTGAATGATACTGAATTGGGAAACTACTGATTCAACACAGCCATGATATTCTACATAAAATAGATGTTTACCACGTGATCATCACCACATCAGACAGATTTCATTCTACTGTACAAAGGGCCACTCACATCCAAATAAGTGGCATCAGGGAAAATTTCTCACACAATCTAACCTCTAAGAACCACCACGGTAACCTACAAGCAGCAAGGATTTATGAAAAAGGCTCAGTTCTCTAAAGCATAAAGCATGCAGAATTATTATTAAAATGGTTTGCTAATATTTACAACTTAAAATGATGTGTTCAATTCACAGGTTTCATTCCATGGATCAGATGAATTTACACATGCATTATTCTTTCTCCTTATAGTATATAATTTTTTTACAGTAATCTTTTGGCATATTGAATCTTTTTATGAGAAAATGATTGTGGAAGTAGAGTAGCTATACAACAATATAACTCATACTGCTTAGTGAATCAACATTGTCTTATATACAATTCTTCTGTATTAATAGAAGTGACAAGCAGATAATATATTATATTATTGCTCCTTTATCGCAGCATTATTTTTACTGTTAAAGTGGAATTCCTGTCTGATCATAACTTTTCTTAAAAGTGTCCAGTCCCCCATCGTGCTTCTTATCCTGCCTACTATGTGTAAATCTGCCTACCCTGTTGACCCTGAGTGTGTTGGCGGCAGTTGACCTTGCCACTGGAGAAGCCCAGTATGAAGTATACTAGAGTGTCCTAAGGGATCTCTGCATTTGTTTCGGCATTGGGTTCTCCCTCACTGCTTCTTTGAGGGCTTTGATGTAATACATTGACTTTCTTTGGTTTAACATGTATCTACAGGCCATATTGTCTTCTTTGACAAATTTGATGTGACTCACAGGTTTATTGCAACACGGTGTCATCTGATTGCACCTAAAGAAGAGCAAGTCTTGAAACACATTGGGAAAAAGTGTTTTTATTAATTCATGTTACAATCCTGCTCCCTGTTTGGGGAAATTGAAAGCTCAAAATAGACCATGTATATCATATATGTCATCTCTTAATTTTATGTCTAGTATGTGGGACATATCTTCAATATTAATGGCCGTTATTGTGGATTCATGTGCGTGCCCTGTAAAAAAAAAAAAAAATCTGCACGACCCACATTATCTAGTCTTTGGGAGCCTATAGGTGACGTCAATGCTACTGGAATTCCCAACTGCTGTCAAGTGCTCCCTGACACGGCAGAGCCGGAGCTGCAGGATCACGTTTCCGGGCCAGAGTGGGCTGAAAAGAGGCCATTATACAGATTTTTTTCCATGGGGTAGGCTGCATAGGTAGCAGGAAGGGACAGGACACTTTTTTAGGAATAGTTATGGTTGGGCAGAAATTCCACTTTAATTTTTACAGAACATTATAATGCCCTATGTCTGATTTTATTGCAGTTTGTTCCCGGATCAATTGGCAGTCAGCCTGTCTGCTGACTTTACCAGTTTTTTAAGAGAAAGTTTGTTAGCATTTACAGATAAACAATAGAACATTACAAACTATACATATCCAATCATTGCCAGATGTCACATATGTATACAATTTTGCCACAGCCGATATGAATCTGTGCATTTTACATAAGGTTCATAAGGTTTATAAATTCAAAATGTGTACAAAATATTTGACATGTTGACAGTAAAGATGGGTTCACTTGTCACGTATAAATCAATAAAGAATTCCATATATCAGCTACATCTCTGTACATTCTGTAGATTTGTGTTCACAAGGGTACATATGTCATTTTGAGGTTATACAATGGTTTCCCACTTATTACTCAGCAATGGTATGTTGAATCTTCAACCAGGGGGTCCATAACTTATCAAATTTTTTTTTGGGGCAACCACAGGCCTCACAGGTCATTTTATACATCATTAGGGACTGGCTAATGATTCTCCGCCATTAGCTTTTGAAGGGAAGATCAGAGAATTTTCCCAGGATTGCTATAATAACCCACAACAGTAAAATCAGTCTGTATATGCAGTACAGCATGCTTGTTATAATCACTGTGGAACTTAAGGGGTTAAGTCTTCTTTGATCCTCCCCTTCTTTCACAGTCCTAGAGCCGTCTCCTGATAGAACAGAGCCTTGGGGGCAAGCTGCACATGCTCAGTTTGGTGTGTATCGGTAGAGAGTCTTTTTTTTTTTTTCTTGGGAGAGTGCATGTGCTCATCACAGGGCCAATCAGCGCTGTCTAGACAGAGGGTCTGGGGTCCTGCAGCCTCATAGGACAGTGAGAGGAGAATGAAAACTACTCCTACAAGCTTTATTATTTATTTATTTCAGGTACTTATATAGCGCCGTCAATTTACACAGCGCTTTACATATATATCATACATTCAGATCAGTCCCTATCCCTCAAGGGGCGTACAATCTAAGGCCCCTAACTCACATTCATACATACACATACTAGGGACAATTTAGACAGGATCCAATTCACCTACCAGCATGTCTGGAGAACATGCAAATTCCAGGCAGGTGGTGCCGTGGTTGGGATTTGAACCAACGCCCCTAGTACTGCCAGGCAGAAGTGCTAACCATTTAGCCATTGTGCTGCCCAACCAGCTTTAACCAGTGCTCTGCTGGACACTAATAGGAGTCACAAGACTGCTCTAACTGCTGATGAGAAAAGGTATTTAGCAGGTTATATTTACGTTTATTTTTATGTTTGCATTTCCATGTTCTGTGTACTGTGAGAGACCAGATATAGTGAATGCAGGGTCCTGGGTTTAGTAACACTTTAAATGTTTCTAAGAGCAAAATAATTCACCTAGGGAAAAATAATCCATTGACAGAATACAATATTAGGGGTACAGTGTTGCGCAGATTTACAGAGGAAAACAATTTGGGTATACTTTTTTCAGATGCGGCCAGGCAGTGGGAAAACAGCTAACTGTTTAACTGAATAAATGCTGATGACAAAAGCTATTTAGCAGTTTATATTTACTAAAATAATTGCATTTCCATGTTGTGTGTACTGTGGGAGACCAGATACAGTGAATGCAGGGTCCTGGGAGACCAGATATAGTGAATGCAGGGTCCGGGGAGACCAGATATAGTGAATGCAGGGTCCGGGGAGACCAGATACAGTGAATGCAGGGTCCTGGGAGACCAGATATAGTGAATGCGGGGTCCTGGGAGACCAGATATAGTGAATGCAGGGTCCTGGGAGACCAGATATAGTGAATGCAGGGTCCGGGGTTTAGTAACACTTTAAAGGCAAAGGAGTTTGGTATAGGCGGGCTCATCAGAATCCTCCAGATATCCTAGGAAGCATCTAGCCGGGTTAGACATATTAGGTACAGGCAGAAGAGAGGCGGAAAGGTCCGCTATTTCTGAACAAAGTGACCTTGGGACATTGCCAGTCCATATGGAAAAAAGGTTTCATCATCAGAGCCACAACTGTAACAAGTGGGTGTAGGAGTTTTCCCCATTTTAAACATTCTATATGGCTTGTATTAGATACTTGTAGGTATTTTAGTTGAATTATTTGTCTCTCGAGGAGCTGACCAATGTAGTATGTGGGCCTATAATATCCTGAAGCTTCTGAAAGGTCAGATCTCTATTCCTGTCATTGTTTTTTTTTTTTTTGTTATTCACAACAAAGGTAGTTTCCAGAATAATCAAAAGAAACAGGTCAAAAAAATTTATCCAATATGAATTATTCAAATAATTCAATAGCAATGGACTAAGAACACAATTAGGCGGAAAAGAGTGCTAAATTGCTGCCAGAACTGGCAGAAGTGTCATAACGTGAGGGTGAATGGGCAATGAATATTCAGAAAATAAACAAACCTTCTAATAATCATGTAGTACCTTGTATCACAAGCCCAAGGATAGGGAGTTCACAGTAGACCTATGACTAAAAAGAGACCTGCCATAGCTTTTTTCTTTTTGTATGGAGATAAACAGAACATAGAAATAGAAAGGAGAAACAGAGAAAGAAAGGAGACAAAGGAAAAGAAGGGGGGTTGGATGGGTTTGTGAGGGGTAGGGGAGAAAGGGGGTGAGACAATATTGTTGGTAGGACCCTGGAAGGATGCCAGACATTGAAGATTTACAGTTTTTAAAGTGGAACTGAGCTCTATCTGAGCACAACAAAGCAAAAATGCAATTTAAATAATTTTTAACATTCAAAGTAAACTCAGCTATCCGTCCATGTCTCCATGCCTTATTTTGTTGAGAAATCACTTTGAAAAAAACACCATCCTAGCATTACTAGCTGTGGCCATCTTGAGTAAGGGCAAATGATTCATGCATCATTTACCATCTGCCCTTACCTCAGGCTTGCTTGTGAAGAAAGCCCCTACTACCCTCCTCCAGATAAAAGAAAAAAAATGTCATAAACACTCGTGGGATGTATGACATCATTTTGGCCTAGGCCAAATTGAAATAAAAAGTGCGATAAATTGTATTCTTCATATATATGTGTGAGAGCTGTACATTAGAGCTTGCCACTATAAAAGTTCAAATTTAGTTTCCTGGAATGCATTGGGAGTTTATGGATTACTGCAGTCTGACCAAGAACCTGTGCTGGTCTTCAAAATGACCCTATGTCTCTGTGGAGCCCCTTGGATTTTGGACGAAGATTCAATTTGTGCCCAACATGTGGTTAATCTGCACCTCCTGTCATTCAAATATTGAATGCTAGCACTTCAGTGGGCAGTATAGCTCAGGTATTTGAAACTTGTATGACTCAGCAGTGGGGTTTAGTCCCACAAGGGAACAGAGAAAGATTTCACTAGAATTTGCCGCCCTTTGTGCCGACCAGAGCTGGGATCCAAGAGGGCTCAATGGGGATGTGTCTGAAGAAATGTTTTGGGCAAAGTCTGATTCACATCAAAGGTTTTTATGCTGGTTGGATTGTGTCCTATTGCCTATCTTTTATCTAAACCACATTCACCAGGTTTACGAAAAGAATGTAACCTGGATTTTGATTGGTTGCTGTAAGCAACAGCTGAAATGTTCTTTAAATATTTAATAATCAGCCTTTTCATTGCTGTCCTGTGATTTTTACCTTGTATTGTAAATATATTCCTCTCTTTCAGGGGATATTCCCGGAAACATGTTGTGGAAGGATTAGAACCCAGCTCTACCTACAGGTTCAGACTGAAAGTTACAGCATACAATGGTGAATGTGCATACAGTGCACTCGTCTCTGTCTCCACTACAAGTATGTTGAATTACATTTCCTGCTTTTCCTTCCTACTTTGTAATAGTACATATGTGGCCATTGCAGACCTTCTTTTGGAAATACCAGTTGCCTGAATGACAGGAGGTTAGCAATGTCAGCCAACATATTTCTCTCAGCAAAGGTTTCTTTTAAAGTAGATGTAACCTCTAACTGAGTGACGCTTCGTTTACTGAAGCACTGCTATCATTAACGTTTGCTATTTTTTGAATGATATATCTGTTTTAACCCTTTTTTATCCTTATCCTTATGTTGCATCATGTCTGTGGTCTATACAATGTGCATTTGCATTTTCTGTTAGGAGAGTGTGTGACAGGGTGACAATGCTCCATCTATAAAAGGAAGTGCCTATTCAAAGGGCTTTCATAGCAGTATTTTAATGAAAGTTACAGGTAGAAAAATTTAAGCAACCTTTAAAATTGCAGATTTTTACATTTTAGTGTTTACATTTTCACCTACTTTGAGCTGGTTACACACACATATGCATAGTGTGTAAAAAAAAAAGTAAAATTTGATAGTTCCTCCTAATGAGTTACAAAAACGTTTGGGGCTTCCTTCAATTTTAAATTTTAAAGCTCAGCTCCAGGAATTAGACAAAATCTACCTTTGGAGTAACAAATTTCCTTACCTGAACTGCAAGAGTTGGCTGCTCATTCAGTCAGGAGTGAAGGAAAAAAGGGTAATAATGTATTCCTTGTTTAGCAGGGTCTCTCCAGTCATGTGAACTGCCCCACAAATCCTCTTCTCTAAGGTTGTCCCAGCTATGGTTGCACTCCTGGGTCAGGGTTAATAGCCCTGAATTGTACATGATGATTCTGTGGGTCCATCCACAGCCTGGAGTGCCAGAGGGCGAAAAGTAGAGCATTGAAACAGAATAAAGCAAGTGTTACAGCCTTTTCATTTCCCCTCAGACTTAAAACAGAACGCAAGGGAAGAAAACAAAAATTGCGAACACTGCAGAAGAAGACTCTTCACTGCAGAAGAAACAAGCAGTATGTGCTTCTCCATTTAGATTTCCGGTACAATACCAATATGCCAGGGTGTTGACTCCTGCGAGAGTGGGAAGTCACATCTTCCTGCACCGATCAATCATCACAGCCGAAGACCGGCACCTGGAAGAAGCCAGGGAGAGGATGCCAATGAGGGAGCTCATGGACATTGGACTGTTGTTGCATAGGTTCATAGCACATGAACATAGTTCCACTTTAATGAGCATTTGCAGCATGGGGAGGGCACTGCAAGGGTAGATTTTGTCTAATTCCTGGAGTTGGGCTTTAAAATTGACCCCAGGCAGCAAGGAAGGCGCTAGAAGCTGAACCCTACCCATAAAATGCCAGATCTAGGACATTACCTAATCCAACTCTTCTAACCTTATCAGCTGACTGCCAACCATACATTGACCAAAAAAATCTGGAGTGCTCTTAGTGCAATTGTTAAAGTAAAATCTCTCCCATGAAAATCCCCTTTTGCTTCCATCATTTTATCCTTTCCATCCCATTTTGTCATTTTGGTGTGGCTATGAAAAGCGCATAGCTTACTGGGCTACATATCTCCACATACTTTAGCCATTGTAGGAAAAAAAAAGGCAAGCCCATCATAAAGAGCGCTATGTTCCACTTTGTACAAACGCTGAATTGTGTTGCCGGGGAATATTGGATGTGTTCTGCAGGATTTGCTGGCACAATAGAATACTGTGCTGTAAAACATACTCTTCCCCAGTTCAGAAACATCATCTGTCTAAAAAAGACATTAATATATCTCTCTCTTAAATAGATTTGTAGCTTAGAAGGGGAAAAAGCATATAAAATGGAATGAAAGCGGATTTAGATAGCTCACATGATGGAATTTTAGAATCCAGCAGCTCAGGCACAATACCTTTTCAAGAACTGCAGCAGATTGCTTAAAGTGCTGCAACAGTCAGATTAAATTCCTTCTCGCCATACTTTCACTGTGGTAATACTGGTTTCAGTTATATTCAGTACGATATAGACTTTCCTAATGGGAAACTGTAAAACTAGCGAGATTAAGAATACGGTGCAGACTGTAGTGGCATAGAGTGTCCTTTTATTTGTCTGCTCAGCTAAGAAACGTTTCTGATTGGTTGTTGTGTTTTAATGCACACCGCTGCAGTATAAATGATGTTATTTAACCAGTCAAGCTGTTTATCTTTGCAATTTGTGATTGTTTTCCACAGTTAGACCCTGTTCATACTTGTGCGTTGCATTAAAGCGGAACTAAACTTTCTCAATCAACAGTAATTATTTTTAGACCTTATGCTGCTAGCATTAGTAAGTATATAGGAAAGAATATCATATTTACTTGTTTTCATTTTTTTTTTTATACTTCAATTGCTTCTTGGTTTCTGGCCTAAGACAAAATGATGTCATACATCCCAGGAGTCTTCATGGATATTTTTTTTTCTTTCATCTGGAGGATGGACTTTCTCAGCTATGCACACCCTCCTGCCTGCATGCCTGAACTAAGGGCAAATGGATTCCAGGAAGTAAATGCTACATAAATCATCAGCTAGGGGAGTGTTTTTCAAAGTGACAAATATTGGCACCTCTGCATGTTTAAAGAAATAAACATGAGATTGCCTAAACATTTGCAATTGCAACAGTTTTTTTCTGGGCGAAGTGGTGCATGACAGAAATGCAGGGGTGCCAATGTTTTTGGACATGACTGTATTTGTATACTTACAATGCTACTGCCTTTTTTTTTTTAAATGTAACTCCAACCAAAACTTTTTTTTTTTTTTTTGTAATGTTCACAGTTTAAAGAAGAGTCCAGTTTTAGCAGGGCCCTCCTAACCCTCTTGTATTGAACTGTATTGTTGCTGTATTGTCTCCTGCAGGGGCGGACTGACAACTCATGGGGCCCCGGGCAATAGGGGATCATGGGGCCCCTGTGTCCTTGCCCAAACTCAAAAAAGCCTATGAAAAAGGTACCAGGGGCATCTCATGGGGCCCCCTACTGACCCCAGGCCCTCGGGCAGTGCCCGAGTTTTCAA